AGATGTAAGAATATGTCACCAAATAATGGTTCAAAACCATAAAAAAATTCAATTACGGAGTATTAAAATATAGCAGTTCCAAAACTAGTACGTAGTACATATTTCCCATGGCATTTGATCCCTTATTGTGCATAGCATCCAAACATAAGTGGACACTCCTAGGCTAATAGAGGAACCCCATTGCTGGCCAATAGCAATTGTGTAAACCGTCAATAAGTAATACAATTTATTTATAAGTGTAATAAAGAATGCAAAATAGTAAAAAAAAACCAAGTAAAGAAACTAAGAAAGTAATGAAAACTTCCACTCACAAGACAATTTAGGTGAGCAGAAAATTCAATATCTGAAGCTCCGGAGCAAAATTCTACCGACGCATCTAGTACTAAACTACTCTGAAAAAGATGCTCAAACAAAAAGCAACTGGAATAGTGAAAATGATAGGGGTACCGCATCCAATGCTTATTCCGGCATCATCCAAATCAGGTTTACGCAACTTGAACTGGTACCTCAATAGCAGGTGCCACTGCCGCCACTGGAGTAATGAACTCTTCTTCCTTTGGAGGGAGGATGGTTACCAGGGGTCAGGTAACGGTGTTGCTGGCCCCTGCTTACCCTTGGGATCCCAGTCAAGCATGATTTTGACCTTGATACCAAGTACACCCTGTGACAATCGAGAACACCAATAGATCAGATCATTATCAGTGGAAAGAAACAAATTAAAACTTTCAGAAAAATGAAATCTGAGAATCTCGAAGTAAACCAAACGTGGCCAACACTCCAGCACATCCAAGCTCTGAAGTAGGAATCTGATTGGCTATTGCCAAGGCAATGTAAACCGTGAAAGCAGGTAGTACAACTATCCACAGATGTACCTGCTTTGGCAATAGCAACAGAAAGTGCGAGTAAAGAAGCTGACCTGTCTAAGAAGAACATGTCTCACAGCCGAGTTAATATATTCATTAACAGGTTGACCAGAGGAAATCATATACCCATCCTTAAAATTTCATTGACTTGGCACGTTGAGCCCGGAGCTTTCCACTCACAATAACCTAAATACATAAAATAAAATAAAATAAAAAAGATCAACATTACAACTCTCAAATAACTCCACAAAGACAATAATGGTAAGAAGAAGGGGACTTTTTTTTTTTTTTTTTACAAACCTCACATCCTTTTGCCCCATTTTCCATGATAAATCTCAGGACACCATAGCAAGCCCTGAAGCATTGAAAAAAAATAATTCTTAAACTTAAATTCAAAAAACAAAGTGAGAAATTTCATCTTTAACTAGTTTATTCTAACATGAAACCCTGGTCAATACATGGCAAATGTATTCAGATATAATCAGAAGGCTTACAAAAACAACAGTTCAGCCAATTCAAATGAAACACTAAGGACAAGAAAAGGGAAAATACCATATAGTTAATTTCACAGGAACTATAAAATGCCTTGCTCATACGAGAAAAAATATATAAGTCTGATTCAAGATATTTTGATTTTTTTGCTCTAACTTGTCAGAATAAAATTTGACATTTTCAGCCCAAATAAAACTTAAACCCAGTAATGGATTTCTATAAAATAAAAGGACAACAACTTCGCACTTAGTAGAACATTCACGACCCATATGCTGGACACCAAAGATTTGCAAGATTTTATATATAAATAAACTACTCAAGAACAAGTCAACTTAGTAACTTACCAAAGATAAATTATGATATTAAGGACAGGCTTATCAATGACATACCTCCGAACAGCAAGGCCTCCAAGAAGCTTGTAACAGAGTGATTCTGCCTGAGCAATGGCACAAAGACCCCTGTTGTTGACTTTCTCAGCATAAAGCTCTACACTGTTCTCTGGAAACTTAAAGCGCTTTTGAACAACTGAAGTCAGCTCCCTAATCCTTCTACCCTTCTCACCTGATAAATAAAAAAGAAATAGTAAATAAATCCACATACACAAGCAGCCTCAGTGGCAGTAGTTTTTATTAAATTTTCAATAAATAATGATGAAATGCCCCCCCTGAAATTATTATTTTCCTATAAATCTCTTGAATTTTTTGTTCTTTGCTTTCTTACTCTTATTCTTCTTCAAATTTCTTTTTATTCTCTTCAAAAAAAAATTGAATTTCCTTTCTTCAATCAAAACCTAGAACTTTTTCCCATTCAATTTTCTCTCACACAGTATTTTTTTATTTTTTATTTTTTTCTTCTAAAGAAATTTCTTTTTCTTACACTCGTATTATTTATTATACAATAACCTTCTTTCTCTCTTCTTGTTCATTTACTTATTCTTTAAATTTATTATTGAAATTTTATACACAAAGAACATGTTTGATAATCATTTTTTGTTTTGTGTTTTCTTTGGCAAATTGGTGAAAAAGAACACTATTGCTATACCTTTGAGAAACCAGTGAAAAATAACTGCAAAACTGAAACTCGTGAATCAACCTCATTTACGTTAAATGTTTATCAACTTTTTTTCTGTCTCGCCTTTCTTAAATTGGAAAAACTTAAACGAAAATGTGGAACATGGTTTCTCATATTACGGTAATATGGGCTACTTCTTGAGAATCTATCCAAAAATATTTTCGGGAAAAAAAAAGGTTCTGAAGATACCAATTTCCAGTATTTGTATTTTTGGTTTAGTTAGTAATTTAGTAGGCAAATATGTGATGCTCTAGTTGGTAACTAGCACAACTGAAAACAAAATCAGAACATCTTTAATCTTAAGTTAGATATTGTTTCGGTACGCAAAAAATAGGAACAAATAATTAGAGTATTCCATCTATTAGAGACTTAGCTTAATCAAAATCCATACAAACTAAGATGCAGGATGTTAAATTCTTTTTTCCTTTATAGTATTATCACAGCAACCAAACGGATCAAAAACACAACATACAAAGCATCCATCTTTTTTTCTTTTTCCTTTGTCACATCTCTCAGTTTTATCAAATTCCAACACAACTATGTAGAAAAGCGTACCGAGGACGTTCTGAGTGCGAGTTGCTCTGATGATGATTTCATTGCGCATCGGAGTAACTCTAACTTCGACGCCGGAGTATCCATCTTCAGCGAGCTCTCTGGTCAGAACTTCATTCAGCTCAGCGAAGAAAACTCCATCAGCAACGAACTGTTGAGAACAAACACAACACCGAAGCGATCAAATCAGAGAACGACACAGAATAACGTAACCGCCCAGTGAATTTGCCGAAAAATCAAAGAAAATGAAATGACAGTAGAACTGATCGAACATAGATTGCCTTTCCTCTATTTCACAGAGTACACACATAAAATAATGACAAGAATTTAGAAACAGACCTTTCGCTTTTTGCTCATCTGAGTCACCATTTTTAAGATATACGTGGTTGTGATTCAATCAATGAAACCTTTGTCCTTTCTACGATTCTGAGTCTCGTTCACCAAACCCTAATTTTTGTGAGGGTTGAGTCACTCACGGTAGTGAAGACTGTTTTTTTTTTTTTTTTTATACTGTAGTGACAATGAAAGACATATAGTACTAATATTAGTATTCACAGACTAAATAAAGAAATAAATAATAAGAAAGTGGTATTTGTTTAGAGTGATTTATTGCATGAAATAAATTAAATTAAATTGGTATTTGTTAAATTAGAATGTTACCAAGCTTAATTTGATTTCATAAAGTAGAAATTTTCATTACAAAATTTAGTTATAGCCATTTGATTTTACTCTTCTTTTTTTTTTTTTTTTTTTTTTTTTATAAGTTCCATTTGATTTTACTAATTAAAAGCAAATAATTATATCAACCGGTTAATCCATGTTATTCGTGTAACAAAATAATATTAAATAAACCAATTAAAAGCTTTTGTGATGTATCAAGGTGGTATGCTCCTGTCAAACAGTTCAAAACTCTGTTTTCACTCATTTTCACTGTAAAAAGATATTCTATTGAGCTTTCATTGAGATGGTCAGATTATAAGCTTGCAAAAAAAAATAAATAAATAACACCAATCTAAGGAAAAAGAAGGAGAAAACACTTTTCTGGGTTTCATTAAATTGGGAACTTTTAACGCGAAGAAAACAATTTTAAAAATATCTAAACCGGTGTTTTTATGTTAATCGAACAAATAAAATATATGAGGAATGTTTAGTATAGTTCTTAGAAATAATTTTGACTAATTTTTCTGAAATAAAAATAATTTTTTAAAAAACTAAAAATGAACTGATTTAAGTTTTTTTTTTTTTTTTTTTTTTTTTTTTTTTCAAACTCTACTTAAAGAAGGAAAGGACCAAACAAATTTTGGATCAAACTCTTTTTGACAGCCTAATGCTGTAGATTCTTAAAATGCGAAGGGCCTTCAAGAAACCGCCCATCCCCTGCTATTCTAGCCATCATTAACTACTTTTATGACTTATTGTCACACAAAAATTACTATATCGAGGGAGACTACATGATCCCATCCAATCACAACTAAACACGAAAACAATTATGAAAACAATTATGAAATTGGTCGGGATCTCTCAAAACTAAAAATGGACCATGAACTTTTGACCTAAAGACTTCAACTCCCACTACTACTTGAGCCAAGGACGAAATTCGTTTTACGCAAGAGACAACCCTCGTAATTATTTTCCCAGGTTTTAATTTCAACAGATCAAAAGACCAAAACCACCACAGCTCCACAACCACAATCAAAAGCAGGGAAACAATCACTTCAAAACTCTGCTCCATTGTATGAAATTTATCATCACATTTCCATTCGAATACGATATATGAGTTTATATGCCGTGAAAGCTGAGACAATTCTGCACACACTGAAAAGTATTTAACAGTATATGCACAGAAAATACATATATATGCTATATTTCCATACGTATCAAAATAGTGTTTATTAATACGTTATGATCTCAATACATGAGAACAACCATGCACAACAATCAAACATGTATCTAGAACGTATAGAACCCCAACTCACCCCTTCCCCTACCATAAAATAATAAATAAAACATCACCTCCTGACGAAAAGGAAATAGGAGAAAATTTCTGTTAAAATTTTCACCGTGATGTAAAGAACTCAAGGAAAATAAAAAAAATAAAAAAATAAAAAAAAATCCACCCTTACAATTATTGTCACCACGCAGAGGATCATATTCCTCTCTCTTCACCTCTTTAATTCAGAAACAAAAAAGGTAATTGCCTCAAAACACCACGCACATTTAGTTAAAACGGGGAAACTCGCATCTATCCAATTCATTTATCTTCCTTTCTGTATTATAGACTGAAGTCCACCATAATCAAGTATTAGAAATCTGAATGATATAAACAAACTAAACTTGAATGAGTTACAGGAGAACGGCAAAGAGGACATTCAGGCTTTTCATTGCACCATTCCATAATGCAGTTCCTACAAATAGAGTAATTAAACCAATGATGAGAGGCAGCCAATGGAACATAACAGCAGGGTAGAACATTTTGTGGGTTTAAGGAGGTAGTACCAGCAGAACACGTGACCACACGGTGTGGCTGTTGGGTGTTGGCGATTACTAAGACAAAGTGTGCATTTGCTGACCCCACTTGCCACTTGAGACTAAACAAAACAAAACAAAACCATTTCAAGGTAATGTTAATAGTCTATAAGCTTATTCTGAACAACCCAAGTGACGAGATTGATATCTCTAAAAACTTCACTTCAAACACATACATCACAATAAGAATAGTGAATCATTCCTTTCACTTTTGACAAGGAGGCTACATGTATCATCTGGCTATCCGTTTGGCATCATTACATAACAAGCCTATAAGGATTATGGACAGAATGGGAGCATATCTAATTCAACCACGTAAAGTTGTGATCTGCTTTAGTGTTCACATTAATAATTTAGGTTTCAATATATCGAATGAGAAAGTTCATAGGCATTTATGTGAGCACGAACTTCATATATAGCGGTTCCAAGTCTAATATAGAAAAGACATGCATTACAGGGGGTTTGTAGGGTTTCAACTTCGCCTATATAGATTTCACGTTTGCAAAACAACCATGCTTGTGATCTTCACGATGGTGAAGCATCTAGTCATCATTACCATACCATAAATGTAGTCCTGATGAAGGCGATAACAAGAATTTATTGAGTTGAAATGTGTTCTTTGCATAGCTTAATATTTTCCATCTATATTAAGCTTTGCAATTTAAGCCATATCCAAGAAAGTACCACCACACAAAAAGAGAGAGATATGCAAACCAGCCATTGATGGTGAAAGTCGCATAAAACATGGTTTCAGCCACTATAATTCAAAGATTTGACTCCCTAGTAGGCCATATCATGTTGCATGGATTAAAACCACCACTTTAACAGTAAATCAATGTTGCTTAGATTCTATTACTTTTGGCGAATAAAAAATTCAATTTTAGTTTCACATTCTAATGAATGCTTCATATTACTGTGTCAACGTTAACTATCTGACCGTAATTAATGTGTGTTATTGTGGGTTAAAGGAATAAAATAATTATCATTTTAACCAAGAGGACTGAAAACTAAATTAAATCAAGTAATTTGAGGTCAAAACAAGCAGCAAAAAGGCCCAAACAGTGAGTTCTTAACAAGATTTTTTTTTTTTTCTTTTTCTTTCTGAAATTGCTTGCTAAGAAACTGACAAACATGGTGCTAATCATGTGGTAAAACCGCTTGAGGATTTCACTTATTTTGTTTCATATGATCGAATAGTTTCCAACCCCGCATGATGCCTAGGCTGCCTACCACTCAATTGACTTAGTTCCCGGTGCACATTATTGAACAGAATCCCTAACTGGGTGAATCGTAAAGGCACACAAGTGAAGGATTCCATCTAGGTCCTTCCCGGATAAAGGTGAAAGGATTTTGGGGGGGAGGGGGGGGGGGGGTGTGGGGTGTAAGAGAGGGATAAGGGGAGCCTATGCCAATTTGAAGAGACAAATTCATGAACTATGTCAAAAGTTCATCAGAGAAAGCTCAAATCCGTGTAATTTGATATTTATTGGCACTGAAGAAGAAAGGAAGTTGGCATGCGTATAGCATTCACCCCATTAACAAAATCACCATAAAGTATTGGCTCCCCATTTCTCTTTCTTCTATTCTCCTATTCTCTATTCTATTTCTTGTTACCCAGGATATATGCTGAATCATTTCTAAAGTATAACTGTACAAGTACTTAAGAAGCTAAGTATGATTGCTGAGGCTTCTCTCCCATTCTCTAATCTCTTTATCTTAAAGGTGTTCATTCTTTTTAGAGCTAATCATTGACATCAATATACCTCTGAAGTTGACGTGTTATCAGATATCCAACTTCCCTTCTCTGAGTCCCCAGTAATCAAATTGCCTTCTTCATTTAAAACAGGTAAACCTCGCCCTACAAACACAAAAATAATGGAATTAACACATAAAATGACACTATGCTGACAAAGTGAAACAGCTGAGAGATATGTAATTAAGCAAATGGCATGAGAAGTTTTGTTTGAGAACTGAAACTTCACAAGCCCCCTAATGTCCCAATTTGAATATTATTGCTCCAAGAGATGAATTTGATAAAAACCCACTAATGACGATGATTGAGTAAATTGATTCTTAAATCGATAACCTGCTGAAGTTTGGTGGGCCCCCAGGGATGTTTGATGTACTGAACTTGCAATAGAAGATAAATTACTACGTCGTAGCCCTTCAGCAACAATAATACATAGCTGAATTAAAAGGAATACACCCAATATTTGGTATCTGCACCACAGAAAATTATCAACAGTTTGACCATCATCAATGTATTATTACATATATGTTTTGTTTTCCCCAAGTATTATAAATATGTTTCACCAGAGTAGAGATGATTCCCCTAAAAAAAGGAAAATAACCAAATAAATTACTGACATCCATTTGGATAGTGATACTAGTTAAAAAACTAAATTCGCTATGTGTTCAACTTTTACTTGCTAAGCAGAAGATATAACAATTAAACAGGATGCACCAAGAACAGACTTTTGGAAGCAAGAAATCCTGAGAACTGACCAAACTACCAACATATATTGAACCTCTCAAATTTAAGCAAGAAAGTGAGAGAAGTTTCCATAAAAATAAAAAATAAAAAAAAAGAGAATCAGCATGACAAGTTAAACTTATAGTCTAATACCAGTAAGAAGAATATTTAAATCCCTGGCCCTCCAAATGCAGACACGCAAGAAAACATAACAAACACAAATATTAGAAGAAAAGGGAAAGGGGGAGGGGGAGATCTCATCAGATGACTCATAATTAAATTTTTTATATGAGTTCATGCATCCTTCTTTCACAATTCCTATGACCAAAGCAATCTAATTATTTCTAATTTAAGGAAAAAAATCAAAATATTACCTAGGTCTTTGGTTCATTGGTTTTCCAATGAACACATAGCGAATGCCAGCTGATCGTTTTGATATATGATAATATAGTCCTGTGGAAAGGAGGATTATATATAATTACAATCAGTACTTCCTTCAAACCTACCAGAAAAAGGTATTTTCCTGTAACCTTTATCAATATTTCCACTACAAAAATGCGGACACACAAACATTGGAGTCACCTTCAAAGTAAAAGAACATGAGGTTGGTGCGAAGAACCAACTGCACAAACTCACGAGCTAAGGGAAGCACCTGAATGTAACGGCAACACAGAATGTGAGATTTATAAAAAATAATAATAATAAATAATAATCAAAATACAATATGCTTTCACAAAGTGAAAAGGTAGCCAAATATTTTTCAACACAGAGAGAAAGAGAAAATAAATAGAAGAAGAAAGAAAAAAGAAAAATAATTAAGATGCTAGCTAAAGAAAAAGGCAAACTATTCGGTAATTTTTAGACACCCTGCTTTGGCAATAAAAATGGAGCTAAGAATCAATCAATTTTATGATTCGATTCCCAATTCACCCTCTAAGGTCAGAATAAGCAATATATGTGGAAACACGTGTACCGAGGGCCATCTTTGAACAGCAGATAACCATAACCGACTAATTTTCTCTTTCAATCTTGAAAGAAGTGAGACAGATGCTGCTGATGCAGATGAAGATGGCATTTCAGTGACTGCAGATGATTGAACTTGACTGCTCCCTGGAGAGTTGTTGTCATACAGATCACCAGACAGTGAATCAGCAAGGACTATGCCACGGGAAGCAACTCTAGAGCTGCAAATGAGACATAAATAATTTATCATAGGATACTAAGTTCATAAGATCTGTATCTAACAAACAATTACAACTAGAATGAAGAACATAACTATTTGGGTAGAAGGTGATAAGAAAAATATAACTGATTTAAAGAAAGAAAAATAGGACTGTACCTGATTCTTTCTGCAATATACGGAACTGCAGACTGGTAGACGATAAATAGAGCACGCCTTGCTGGTGTTGGGGGAAGTCCATGTGGTCCAGCAACCTAAAAAATAATGTTCAATTTGAGCAGTAGTTTTTTTTTTTTTTTTATGTTTTCCTTTTTCTTTTTTCTTTTTCTTTGTTTGGAGGATCATATTTCTACTACTGGTTCCAAAAAATATAGATCTTCTATAAGGAAAATTACGCTATTAAAAATACATTGATGCAGTGTTGACCACAAAAGATAGTCATGTTTTCTCAGCATCGTATTTCATATATATAGAGAGAGAGACACACACACACACACATACATTTATACATGCATATATGTACACATAATGAAAACTGGTGCTGCTGCACTCACGATAATTACAAGTCGCAAGCCATTAATATAATAAAGAACGTAAAAGCTATATACCTGAGTGATGTCGCAATATTCTTCTCCTAAGGTTTGCTGCCCCGTACCTGTTGTCAGAACATAATAAAGCATTTGCCCCAAAAGTTTTGTCTGCAAGACAATAAGACCCAGAGGCAACACTATGAGAATAGAAATCCAAATTACTTATGATAGGATGGGCCTAACTGTAAACTTGAAGAAAATTGGGAAAAAGAAAGGGTAAATTACACTCAGACCCCCTGAGATTAGGTCATTTTACACCTACATGAAGATTTTGGTTTTAATTTTCACTTATATTTGAAAGAGTGATTTAGTGTTTCACTTACACCCCAAATGTCAATTTGGAGTGATGTCAGAGTTACTTTTAGGTGTAAAATGACTATAAAACCCTTTTGATTTTGTACTGATTTTATTTCATATATAAAATGACTTAACTACCCCAACAGACCCATCTGAAATGACCAAAATGTCCCCAAAACACAAACTGAATCCTATTGGCAGAGTTTATTGGTGGAATAAGCTGCTCGGCGGGAAGCTTGAAATGTCGGCACTGATGACGCTGAAATTTAAGGAACAGCAGCCAAGGAATGAACCAGTAAGAGGTGGGTCTGTTCCGCAGAGGCAAGCGGTGATGGGTGGCTGCTGGCAATCGCCGAATTGGGGTGGGTTTGTTCCGGCGTTAGTGATGATGGATGAAGTGATTGCAAGGCGGCATGGAATGGCAAGAACAGGAGGCTATGACCATGAGTGGACGGTTAACGTGTCCGGCAAACTTACCGGCATAATTGTCTTCACAGGTTAGCATGGAGTGCACGCCGGCGAAGTGGGTCTATGGTAATGATGGACGGCAGGTTCGAAGCGACGGAGATGGTTGGTGGTTGATGGGCCGGCGATGGTGAAGATGATGGCAAGGTTTTGAGTCTTGACGGTCACGGATTGAGCAGCTCAACATGGACGACGGTACGGAATGGCAGTGGGAACACTCCGTCCAAACTCTCTCCATCGTCACAACCATCTTGCAGCCTGAAAAACTTACTGGCGGGCTATGAAAATGTCTTCACCGGTGAGAATGGAGTGCACAGCGGCGAAATGGGTCTAGTGATGATGGACGATAGTTCGAAACGAAGGTGTATCTGTTACTCTATCTCTATTCCGTCCACTTAGCTCCTAAAAAATTGAGGGGGAAAAGGCAAACAAAATTGAATTATATATATCATGCTGTTCTAAAAATCAAAAAAGAAGATTTCCACCCAAACATATAGTCGAATTTAAGTCAACTAAGAGAATATTTTGTGTTTCAGAAGTCCCAACAATATTTGAAATTCTCAACCAATATTAGCATCTAAAGAAAAATAATACAAAACCCAAATTGAAAACAGCATAATCCCCATTTGCCCAAAAACAAAATTGCATAATTCTTGTATAATTATCAGAAATTTAAGAGCAATAGTAGTGTAGTGGGTAGATTTATTATATATATGCATATAAGTATATATATAGAGAGAGAGTGTACAAGCGTAGATGCGATCTTGGGGACGGCCTGACTTGATGAGGACTTCGAGGTTAACGAGGCCGAAAGACATGAGGCCAAGAGTGAGACCAGCCATGAGACCAGCGAAGATCACAAGTCCTATGATTATCAGCACATACAGCGCGAACATAGTCCCACAGCACGGTGCGTCCGCTGCCATCTCTAAAACTCATATTTCTCTCTCTAAAACTCTGTCTCTCTATATCCTCCTCGAGATTTTGCAGTCGTAAGGGAAGGAAAGGGAAGAAGGTGTGTCTGTTACTCTATCTTTTTTTATAATTATATATATATATAGTATATATTTTTCTTTTCCCAGGTTGGCAAAATAGCTAATTATGAAGACGGTAGAACAGACGAGCGGCGCCGGCAGCGATGAAGGGGCGGTGGTGGCCGATGCAGGAGGTGTAGCGGTCGCTGTAATAACTGGGACGGGATATATATTTGTATAGGGGCTTTTTTGTCATTTAAGATTACAGATATTTTGTATTAAACAATTGAGGGTAAAATGGTCAATTCACATGTATGAGAAGTGTAAAAGTAAGTTGGGGTGTAAGTGAAAGTTAAAACAAAAATTTCCATCTACCTGAAATATGACCCAACCTCAGGGGGTGTCAGTGTAATTTACCCAAAAAGAAAAGAATCATAGAAAATAATGCAACAATATGACAGTACCGAATAGGACACTATCCATATCTTCAACCTTTTGCCCAAATGGCATTGATATGAGGAATATTGTTACATAAAAAATTGCAAATCACCTAGTGATTGTGCCTAAGATAGAACTCAATTAGTGTCTGTTTATAGTATGACCACAAACACCAGCAACATGAAAATCAAATCATTTGAGACATACAAACTCTAAGATATACTAAAGCGTCAGAACTGACAAGAAAGAAATGTCAAGTAAGAAAATCAATTTTGCAGCAGAAAAATCAAATGTAGCTTTGATAAAATAATCCCATATCAAATGATGGTCTGTGTGATATCTCAACAAATCGTATGACAGACTCAATCACGAATAGCAATGCAGCTTGAATAACATTTTCATTGCTACACAAATGTCATGCTCAAGAAGAACTCAAAAACCAATGAAAGAATAAAGACTACTGCAAGCAACAGCAATATCAAGATAATTTCACATTTATTTTCCAGAGCTTTGTTCAAAACATATAAACATGGGGCACAAACAATGCATTTTTTTCCAAATCCTAGGTTAAAGTTGTATGGTGCAGAATTTGAAATAACAACAATATAAGTTATGTTTGGAAGCATGGAAATGGGTGCATTTGAATTGGAATTGAAGAAATCCAATTCCAAAAGCTACAGCAACTCTCGCTTTTAGAAACAAGAAACCTAAGTAGAATTGGGACTAACCTCACTCTGATAAGCTACAGCAACTCTCGTGCCTGAAATGATAAGCTAATGTCATCAATAAATATATGTGTGAGTGTGTATCTGTGCGTGTGCTTTTGTTGAGAGAGAGATAAAAGAGAAAAATGAAATTAAGAAGGAAAATAGAAAAAAAAAACCCTAGAAATTTATAGAATTACAGACCCAAGAGGTGGCGAAAGGCGTCGCGACAAGCTTCGTAGACGAAGGAGGCGTACTGGTCATCCTTCTCCGCTGCTCTCATTATCTCTGGCTGCGCCGCCAGCGGGAACCTTCGTATGCCGCCGGACTGGGCGGTGGTTGCGGTGGCACTGGGTCCCACCTCTTCCCTGTTGGCATCACCTGAAGCTGAGGAATCCTTCCATCCCATCCCCATGGCTTCTTCAAGATTTTTCTTCCTCTCTCTCCAACCTTTTTCTCTCTCTAGAATCTCTCAGGCGAGGAGTATGAGGTACTTGAGGACTAACTAAGTAAGCTTAAATTCTCGGAAATGGTATATCATACGTGGGAAGAAAGAAACAACCGCATCTTTCAAAGCAAGATCTCGTCACAGAGGCAGCTTCTAGCCAGAATCAACAGCACCATCTCTGCAATTCTCAAAACAGGGTTTCTGCGAAAGAGTGATGCTTCCAATAGAATCCTTTCAGAGTAGAGTCTCTCTCCCTCGCACTGCCAGCCGCCTCAAACACCGCCGGACTGAAATCACCGACCAATGGTCGCGATCGCCGTTAGGGCTTGCTCACCGGAACAGATGGTCTATCCTTTGGTAACGGCTAATGTTTAGTCCGCTACCTCAGGATATTTGTTAGCAGAGTTGTTGGGTCTCATGGCTGGGCCTCTTTGTATTGGGTTTGGGTTGATATTATGGTTTGTTTAGGGCCAAGGCCTTCATGTACTCTTCTACATTTTATACAGTTTGGTTAAACTTCGAAAAAAAAAAGGGGCCCATAATAGTGACACCTCTTGTGGTTGGCCTTATTAATAATTAGATGAAACTTAACTCATTTTTTAATAATAACACTCCTCACGTTTAGTAAAACTAACAATGACACCCAATCATCAACTAACACACACCTGAGTGAGTAAAATGGCCTTAATGCCCTTTAACGTGTAAATTGATTAATTGAAATCATAAAATTACTAATTTAACCTTTCTTCTAAATCATTTTAATGGACCAAACTAACCTCCATCTCAACAAATCAACACACCCAATTTCTCTCTCTACAAATCCTACACACCCATGTATATACATGTATAATTATACCACCTAAGCCACTAGAGGTTGGGCCGCCAGATCCAATGACATCGGATATTCCGACCCCATTCACGGGCATCAAATTGGTTTTAATTTCATGGTATGAGTTGATTATCTTGGATGTACTTTACATGCATGTGCATACAAAACGGAAGAGATGGGGGTATGAAAGATGAAAACCTGAATTCATTATATTTATTAAATCCTATTATATATATAGGTGTGTGTATATATGGGTCTATATATATGAAATCAGATTATATATGTGTGTGTGTGTATATATATATATATATTTCACTTCACTCTCTTTCTCTAAAATGAGTTTATAATCTAATGGATTATTAGTATTTGATTTAGCGATGACTTTGGTGTCAATGATGAATTTGGTTAGATGCATCCTTGGAAGGGTCAGGGCATGAAAGATGATGATGAATTTGGTGATGCGTCTGAACCAGGAGAGCTAATGAGAGAGAAAGAGAGAGCAGTAGGCATTTTGGTCATTTCCCTATTGTGATATCTTTCATTAAAACTAAATAAACTAAGGAAGGGGCAATCTCGACTTTTCACACTCATTTAGGGGCTGTTTGGATTCAATTTATGCCGTGGGGTGTCATTGTCCAAAAATAAGTTAAGTTTCATCTGGTTGTCAATACGGCAAACCTCAGAGGGTATCCATGCAATTAACCCTATATTCTAAGATGATCTTGAGAGTACCGGTTTGAATTTGAAATTAAATCGCAATGAATAATTAAAACTTTAAACTAAATTTTTTTCAATTTCAAATTCAAAACACCAAATTAATGCTCCAAACACAATGGTATTCATATAAATTATTTAATGTAAAGTTTATTAACTTTTTAATTGTTTAAAACATCATATCCACAACCACCATAAGTAATTTTTTGACCAACTTTCTAAAGATTCGTATTCAAGATTCAAATCCATTATAAGGGCTAATAATAAATTTCAAATTATTTTATGCTAACCAACATAAGTAATTTTTTGACCAACTTTCTAAAGATTCGTATTCAAGATTCAAATCCATTATAAGGGCTAATAATAAATTTCAAATTATTTTATGCATTACTGTAGCCAAATGGTATTTTACCATTTTTTTATTTATTTATTTTATTTTTTTTACAATTCAGGCATTGGGACAAAGTGAATTTGTGAGTTTTAAATTGAAAAAAAAAAAATAGGTTGAAAAAGTTCCAGGTCAGAATACTGTTAAAAAGTTTTGTATTCTTTTTTTGATTAATAAAAAAGATGTTAAGAATTTATTTTACAATATCTACAACTAGCAAATCTTGCTTATGTATCATTTCAAATGTACAATGCCTTGAGTAAAAATCGTATCATAACAATATGAAACAATACGGAGTAAGTTTTCTAGTTTCATTCCCTCAGGTCAGAATACGGAGTAATGTTTTTATGAACCATTTCTTAAACAAAATTTAGTATTTAAACTTAATAATTAAAACAAAAGGCAAAACATTATTATGTAAAAGAAAATTGTTGATGATGGATTCTGCGCAACCTGGATCTGATCTGACTTCCTGAATAAAGAGAAGAAAAAGTGATCCTACGAACACCGGTGTGTTACCGGTGGAGTAGGCTCCGACGAACAAGTCAGTGTGAATGATAATCTCCCTGGAGAAATCGAGAAATTGAGTTAGGGTTTATTGCGTACCTCAAAACGTTGATTCCCCCGCCTTTTTTATAGGGATTAGGTTAAGATGTCACGTAGAATTACCTTATTGTAATCTGTAGACTTAATTCTCATCGTAATCTTTAATCCTTATCACAATCTTTAATCCTTATCGTAATATGTAAAGCCTATCTCAATTTGTAATCCTTATCGTAATCTGTAGAACCTATCTCAATAGTGCGTTAATTTAGTAATCTTCCCTTAATTATGGATATTTAAATTATACATCCATCAGTTGCTCCCCGTTTCGGAGGATTGCTTGTCAAACCACCGGAACGTTAATTCCAAAATATCACACAATAATATATAGTTAGAATTGCAGAGCCTTGTCCATTAGCCTGACTTATATTGTCATTTCGCGAATACAGTCGGGGGTCATAGTATCACATTGACAGCTCGTATATGTGGCAAGCTCGTATATTTGTCGTATATTGGCAAGCTTGTATATTTGTCGTAGTGCCACATTGACAGCTCGTATATGTGGCAAGCTACCATGCTGGTAGTCTACCGTTATGTGGTAAGCTGCCATGCCATGCTGCCGTGGCAAGCTGTCCTGCTGGCATGCTGCCGTTATTTGTCAAGTTGCCCTGGCAGGCATGCTGCTTTTATTTGGCAAGCTGCCATGCTGGCATGCTGCCTTTATTTGGCAAGCTGTTATGCTAGCATGCTGCCGTTATTTGGCAAGCTGCCCTGCTGGCATGCTGTCTTTATTTGGCAAGCTGCCCTGCTGGCTTGCTGCCTTTATTTGGTAAGCTGTCCTACTGGCATGCTGCCGTTATTTGGCAAGCTGCTCTGCTGCCTTTATTTGGCAAGCTGCCCTGCTGGCATACTGCCTTTATTTGGTAAGCTGTCCTACTTGCATGTTGCCGTTATTTGGCAAGCTGCTCTGCTGGCATGCTGCCATTATTTGACAAGTTGCTTTACTGGCATACTGCTTTTATTTGGTAAGCTGTCCTACTGGCATGCTGCCGTTATTTGGCAAGCTGCTCTGCTGGCATGCTGCCTTTATTTGGCAAGCTGCCCTGCTGGCATGCTCCCATTATTTGGCAAGCTGCCCTGCTGGCATGCTACCGTTATTTTATACTTGATTTTATTGACATCTTTAATCGGCTCGTCCCTTTAATAAGGAAAGTAGATTAAGACGAGTTTCACGTAACTCGTAATAAGGTAAGTAGATGAATACGAGCTTCACTCAGCTCACCCTTTAACAGAGGAAGTAGATTACTATGAGCTTCACCCAGCTCATCTTTTAATGAGGGAAATAGATTACTATGAGCTTCACTCATCTCACCCTTTAACAAGGGAAGTAGATTAATACGAGCTTCACCCAGGTCACCCTTTAATAGGGGAAGTAGATTAATACGAGCTTCACCCAGGTCACCCTTTAACAGGGGAAGTAGATTACTATGAGCTTCACTCAGCTCACCCTTTAACAAGGAAAGTAGTTAACCCCTCATCTTTTTACGAGGGAAATAGATTATTATGAGTTTCACTCAGCTCACCCTTTAATAAGAGAAGTAGTTAACCCCTCATCTTTTTACGAGGGAAGTAGATTACTATGAGCTTCACTTATCTCATCCTTTAACAAGGGAAGTAGATTAATACGAGCTTCACCCAGGTCACCCTTTAACAGGGAAAGTAGATTAATATGAGCTTCACTCAGCTCACCCTTTAACAAGGGAAGTAGTTAACCCCTCATCTTTTTATCGAGGGAAGAAGATGAAGCTGACCCTTCATTCTTTTAAGGGGGAAAGAGGTATGGTCTTGACATGGGAGTCATCTCCTCTGACAGTTGTCTCGGGATGTTGGCAAATCGTTGACACTTATCGCACTTTTGAACGAAGTCAAGTGCATCTTTCTGCATAGTGGGCCAATAATATCCTAGTCGGATGGCCTTGTTAGCAAGTGACCTACCCCCAGCATGGTTTCCACAAACTCCTAGGTGGATCTCCCTTAAAATGTAGTCAGCTTCCTCGCTAGAAACGCATCGTAAATACGGCATGGAGAAGCTTCTCTTGTTAAGCACCCCTTTGATAAGCGTATACCTAGCTGCCCGCATCTTGACCTTTCGAGCTTCTGCTCGGTCTGTTGGTATCACCCCATCCTTGATATATCTGATGATAGGATCTGCCCATTCCACACTCAATATCGCTTGTTGCACTTCAATTTGTCTCTCCTGAGATATAGATGGTTCGTCCAAATATTCCAGTGGTATATTCTTATTGATCTCAGGTTCAATGCAGTAGCTAGCCGAGCTAAAGCGTCTGCTTTCCCATTCTCTTCTCGTGGTATTTGATGAATTGAGAATCTTTGGAAGTGATTCTTTAATTCCTTCACCTTTTGTAGGTAACTCTTCATCTTCTCGTCTCATGCCTCATATTCCGCTTGAACTTGTCCAGCGACCAGCTCGGAGTCGGTGTAATTGCTCAACCCCTAGGGCATTTGCCACTTTTAATCCTGCTATCAAGGCTTCGTACTCTGCTTTGTTGTTGGTTACGTTGAAACCAAACCGAAGTACGTACTGTATACTTTCTCCCTCTGGGGAGACAAGAACAAGCCCGGCTCCGCTAACCTGAACATTAGAAGACCCATCCACGAACAAGTCCCAGACTACTTCTGGGCCCATTTGTTCACTTAAACCTAGTTCTGTCAAAAATTAGGGTTGTTTCTCCTCTTCTGGAGGGGTAAACTCAGCTAAGAAATCAGCCAACACCTGAGCCTTTACTGCTGTTCTTGGCTTATACTGAATGTCGAACTCTTCTAACTCTACTGACCACTTCATCAGTCGACCAGAGCTTTCTGGCTTGTGTAGGACCTGTCGAAGGGGTTAATCTGTTAGGACCACTATCATATGCGCTTGAAAGTA